CTTCAATTCGTGCAGGACTTTTTGTTTCAGGAAGCTCACTGGGCTCGCAGAATCCACTGGAATGTTTAGATTAACTATCGCATCGTCCCCAGTCCTATGTTTACTAGTTTCTTGGTTTCCAAGCCATTGGTATCATAGATAGTTTTGATGTTAAAAACGGAATAGTCGTCATTGTCGCTGATCCCTTTTTCGGTCCACGCGTTGATCACGCCGCAAAAATTTTCTTCACTTCTTGCTTGAAGGTTTTCTGGGGAATATGAACAATTCTGACTATCTACAGATTCTTCTACAGTATTTACAGCGGGTTTTCTTCCTTTCGATTTGCACAGTCTTCCAAAATGTCCTTTATATTTACAAATGTTACAAACTATTTCTTTCGCCGGACACACATTCAGATGACCCTTTGTAAACGCATTCCCGCCTTTCATACAAGTATTGATCTTTCTATGTTCATACTTGGTTCCTTTTTTCCAATAAAAAAATTTTTGTACACTCTACCGCTACTTCCTGTCGTGTTGATTGATCTAGTCATATTTGTTAATTTCAGGCGATTGTAGTAGCTTTTTTCGTCGATGATAGCTTGGTTGAGTGCGTCCACTGGATTGTGAGTTTCCGAAAGTAGTCTACGTTGTAAGTCACAATTTTTCATGTTAAAAATAAATACGTCTCTGATGCTTTCCTGTTCAGCATTGATTCCAATTTCGCAAGATCTTGCTAAATCTGATAATGCGCCCCAAAATTTTTCGTAGGATTCTCTATCCTTTTGTTTCCTGCTCAGTAATTTGTATCGTTCAAACGTTATATTTGTCGGTTTGATAAAAGCCGCTTCTAGCAGTTCGGAAAATTATTTGAACGAGATTCCTAGGACTTTTACCCTTGGATGTTTTTGGGCGAAGACTCTTTTCCCTTCCGCTCCTAAGGCCAAGTATAGGATTGATATTACTTTTTTGTCGGCCTCGTATCTCCTCATTCCTCCGAATTTTCTTTTCTCCTGCTATTGTTTTCTCTTCTGCGTGTTCGTAGACTCGCATTGTCTCTTTATTCCTGGCCTCTCTAGCTTTCCTCTGTTGGTCAATTTCTGACTCCTGGGCGTCTTATAGGATTGGTAATGTAGTCTCCCCTTCCAATGGTTCCATCAGATTGTCTGTATCTAGATTTTCCTTCGCAATGATAGCCAGGTGAAATTGGTCCATTGGGTGGGAGGTTCTATCGTGTGGTTTGGCCAAAAGGCGGGTATTCCCCGCAGATTCGAATCAGTTGTTGACTGCGCCATAATAAAAGTATATAAATACCACTGGTAATTATAGTATCTAACTAAGATTAAAACAGAGTAAAATTAATGTGTGAATTAAAACTGACTGTGGTCTAAAAAGAGCAACTAGTGACTCGAAGTCCACTGGACTTCATAGAGTAGACGTTAACTGGTACTTGATTAAACAATAAAGGTCAAGGTTAAGAGATACAAAATAACTAAATCACAAAACTATCAAAGTTTGCCCTTGGGGGATTCTACATTGTGAAAGACATAAATGAAAGGGGAGCATCCGCCCCACTGGGTATCACAGACTACGCCATCATTCGGGACAAGGAGTCCTTTTTCGGAGGGTGGGGTTCGCCATACTCCGAAAACCATTTCATGACATCAACTATCAACGATTAGATTGAAAGCTAATTTCGATGAAGATGAATTTGATCCCACTGACAGAAGAATTCTTGATGGAAGTTGGTACTTGATAGAACTCTACCCGTTCTTCTAAGGGTCATCGCCTTCTGGAAACTTACCAGATTTGGGAACAATCTCAAAAATTATACTGAAATGCTCTATGAAGTCGTTCGTTTAGTATATACATTTATTAGAACGCTGTTACTGTTTTCATACCTTCAGTAAGATGTTTTATACGTTCAATAATAGCTGAATACACTGATTCTTTTATAATCAAAATCGTCCAATTTTCCATCCTTTACACTGAGCAAAAATCAAACGTTTCAAAATGAGACACTCAGATTGAGATCAAAGTTAAATGATATTTATTCTTAATGCTAACCAAAAAAAATACTTCTACCATTTTTTTTTATTATTAAGTGCCCCGTTCGTCTTTTTCATCACAAACTTTGATACAGTGTCAAAAACTGTTTGTAACTGCGGTTGATATGAAAAATCTAAACCGCTATGACTCTTCAACTTTGATAACGATTCGACTTTACTCAATACTTGAATGAGAATTTTACTTTGATTACTAAAAAATTTTGAAATTGTTTTTTGTTAACTATACTGAAGTGAAGCATGAGAACTCACTAAACGAGCAAATAAGCAAGATATTTCCAGACAGCTGTCAAAATGAAAAAAGAGAAAAAAAATTGATTTTTGTGTCTGAAAAAACCTTGATTTTTCAATTTTAAAAAAATTAATTTAATCACCCAATCATTTCAACAGGACTTTAAGATAGTAAGCTAATGACCCAAAAACTTTTTTGCAAAACCTCTTAGAGAAAACTTTTAAATTTAGATTGCTCTGTTAAAATTATCTCAAGTTTTAAGTTTAATATCTACATGCTCCCATGAAAATCAGAGGCTGGGCCAACGAATACTCTAGTTTATTGTTAGCATCAAAACACATCCCGCAGCGCGAAATTTGAAGATGTTTTAAATTTATCCACAGTTTAAACTTTTTAGCATCGGTCAACCAAAAATGATGTTTGATTAAACGTTTCCGATGTAGATTGATCCTAAATTTTA